AACAAGGGCACCACGGGCCTGTCAGGGGCACCTCAGGCTTGTCAGGGCCCAGGGACACCACAGTCCTTCCAGGGGCATTACAAGCCTGTCAGGGGCACCAGAGGCCTAGCAAGGGCACCACAGGCCTGCCATGGACACCACAGGCCTGCCAGGGGCACCACCGGCCTTGCAGGGGCGCCTCAGGCCTGTCAGGGGCACCACGTGCCTGCCGGGAACACTTCAGGCTTGTCAGGGGCGTTACAGTCCTGTCAGGGCCCAGGGGCACCAGGCCCGTGGTGTCCCTTCTAGGCCGGTGGTGCCCCTGGCGGTCCTGTGGTGCCCCTGTCAGGACTGTGATACCCCTGATAGGCCGGTGGTGCCCCTGGCAGGTCTTTGGGCCCCCGGGCCTCAAGGGGGGGGCCATGACCCATGTGACCCCCCCCCCCTTGGATCCGCCCCTGGGCAAGACGGACCACCAGCCCTCCCGGCTGAACCGCTGCTGGTAGGGGAGAGTGGGGCAAAGCGGCCACCCGGGGCAAAGCGGCCACCCATCGTTTTAGCCCTTCATAGCTGGCGTCAGTTCCAATTTATGATTTCCAATTATACTTCTCTTCACGGTCGTTCGAATGAGCCAGACCGGGGTTTCAGGCCCATCACCATTGTTCTGTGAAACACGAAAAAGCATTTCTTGCCAGGTTACCAACTATGTTTACAGTTTTTAAATGTTATGTTATTCCATAACTGTTTGGAATTTTTATAAGCGTTCTTGTCCATGCATTGCATGGTTATCGTACATGTATTCTACCAATTTTAATGTTTTTTACCCCACTAATAGCTAAGCTGGAATATTTTTGTCTCGGACGGTATGCGTGGGGCAAAGTGGCCGGGGCAAAGTGGCCACCCCCCAATTGGCCATAAGCTGCTTCCATCTGGATAAAAAACATTATTTGTATTCAAATGTGTCGTCATGTATTCATCTGGGCCACTTTTCAGTTGCATGAGTTACCAAATAATGCAATTAAATGTATATTTTCATGAAAATCCTTTCTTTGTTTACCTACAGGTGGAAGATGATAAAGTAAACATCCATCCTCGCTTAACCTTGTCACCATCAAATACCCTAGTCGTACACAAGGCGACTATTCTGTTTCTCATATCGTGACTTGAGAAGACACCGGTGGCCGCTTTGCCCCAGGGTATGGGGCAAAGTGGCCAATATGCATAGGTTTAAAGTTATGTCAATATCTTTCATATGTGAACGCCTTTGGAAATAAAACGCAGTTGAAATAAAAGGCAACTTAATAGGGATCACATTGGTATAGAAAGAATCTTTCCAAGTTTAAAAATCAAGCGTTGGCATCGTGAGAAGCGTTAGGGTGGCCGCTTTGCCCCACTCTCCCCTATCTACTGCTTTATGCACTCACTATGTTTGTTTCCCTTCGTAACAATGGCCACCTTGAGCTCATGCTGCTAGGATGCATAGCTTTTGAGTTATTGAGAAAAATGTTGTTTTTCGTCAAACCGATGTAATATAAGAGGTCTACGGGTGATTCAATTACGGCACCTTTCTTGCATGATTAGTTTCTATTTTGCACTTTACTGTGAAGAACAAAGTTATAAACTTAGTTATAGTCACACTTTAGGAAAGGCAAGGTTTTGCAATGTTGGGCTATTTGACATATACGTCATGATAATGGCAGAATTTAGATTTGGGGCAAGACGGACCACTGTGGTCCATCTTACCCTGGTGGTCCATTGTACACTGCATATGGAAAGTTCTTTTCCAAAACATTGGCACAAGTTTAAGTAAGCTAATTTTTCAGGAAGGAGTCTTTGTTGCATGTGAGCCATGCATGCAAGTGCTCAGTTAGCATGCATTCATGCCAAACGATAATCAACACACATGTTCCCAGCTTTTAGCTGCACTTCCATCATGCATGAGTAAAGAATAAAGGCTCATTTTGTTATTTTACCATTCTGGTTACTTTTTCTTACAAGAGTACAGAGCAGAAGTGTAACACACATGAACGGATAGCAGGCACTGCTGCAGGTGGTCCGTCTTACCCCACGTTTTTTCTTGTCTGAGTTTTTGACATGTCCCTCTTTAAGAGCATCCACCACCTAGATGTCTTTAATTTGAAATTTAGTCTTTACACATATCAACAGAGGAAGGATTGAGCATTCCGAAGACTACAAATAATATGAATTACGAGAGCAGTGTAGCAAGATATGCGGCCTCAAACCTTAGCTGGTCCGTCTTACCCCACCTTCCCCTACTGTAAAACGCAAGGACGGCGAACGCTACAAATCGAAGAGTCTCCACACTCTCAAGTACGGCGTGAAACAGAAAACAGAAACAGAAAACAGAAAACAACTAAGTGTGTGCCGTAGACATGTGACGTGGCTATGATTGTATATCCAATACATTCAATTGTACCATGATATTTGTGTTTGGATATTTTTTATTACGGGATGAATGAGTAGGTACTAAGTAAAGATTCCGAGAGTTGGCCATGTAATAAAACGAATACTGCATGGGGGAGCGGGCAATAGCAAAAATATTGCCCTCTGTAACGTCACTGTCGCCCGAGGGTGAAGACCGAAACAAGTGCTATTGCCCGAGGCGAAGCCGAGGGCAATAGCACTTGTGGAGGTCTTCACCCTCGGGCGACAGTGACGTCACATCGGGCAATATTTTTTGCTATTGCCCGCTCCTCCATGCAGTATTCGTATGTTGTGTACCTCAACGGAAACAGTACACAGTGAGGTGAGTGATACTGACTAGTGGTGTCAATCGGAACTTGAATCTTCGGAATTCCGATTTTGTCCAATGTCCAATTCGGAATTCGGTTGGACAATGGCAGCAGGCTTTGGACAACTTTGGACAATCGCTTGCTACACCTCAACATTTTTAAAAAGTAGTCATGTTTAACATTGATTGGCTATTAGAAAGCTCAGCTTTCGATATGATTAACACTTTTGAGCTTGTAACGGTACATGAAAAGCAAATTAAATAACAGTGTTGAGTGTAAACTATTGCGTAGGTGTCGGACATCTTTGGACAAATGGCTGGCTTGGACATTTTTGGACGGACAATCGACGCAAGCATTGGACATTGGACGGACTTTGGACATACGTTTTCTGAGATTGACACCACTAATACTGACCCCTCAATAGTGACTTACAATCAATCGAGTTCCGTTTAATTACAGACCCGACACGTTTAAAGTGTTAAACATCCGACAAACAAAAGCTGGCAGCACCGCCTTCAATTGACGTCTGACGTTTCAAACTCGAGAAAATTGTCTCCAGGGACGCTTTCCTTCCGGGACGTTCGCTCGGTTACCGGCCGGCACCAAGCCGGTCGAGCTGTCTAACCGTCGGGAAAACGTGACGGGCGACGCTGTTTTGGCGATTGCCTGCCGTCCCGAGCAGCGTCCAGGGACCGGCCGCCGCCGTGAGCCGAAGGTTCTGTGTCATCCACCCCTCCCCCTCTCCCCATGGTCCGCCGGTGGGCCCGTGAACACAGCGCCTCCATGGAAACGAGTTCACAGCGGCGGCCAGCTGCGACGTTAGGAGCAAATACATCACGGAAAGCTTATTAACTTCCGCCCATATATTCGCCGCTAACGACTCGCCGACTATAGCTGGCGCCCCGTTAGGGCAGATCCCAGGGAGCTTGCCGTCTTAGCTGAGGCCTCTTGCACCAAACTACCTACCTAGGTAATTTCAGCTTTTACCTAGATTCTCTTGCACCAAACTACCTACCAAAAAACGCTACCGTGAAAATTTACCTAGAAATTCTACCGAGTGGCAAAGAACTTACCAATTGTTAAAATCCGACCGGCTGTTTTCCTCTTGCACCGAAAGCCGGAAAGAAGTACTCGCGGAGGAATTTTTGACGATTTGACGGTAAACGCGGGCTTCCAAAATAACTAGCAAAACCTTAGGTAAAATGATTCAATTAGTAACAATAGGCACAATACATATTAATCCACGGGTACTTTTATGTAAATTAGGCATTACAAAATGTTTAGACAATGAGAAATCAATATTTTTATGAGTGAATAATAATATAATTGACTAAATGCTCCATGGGTTCACAGAGGTGCTTCTCCGTACCAAGGCGATAAACCTCCGTAGCAGAACAGCCAGGTTGAAGACTCACTCGTTGCCATGGAAACTAAGCTTATTTGTTCAAGTAATTTAATATCAAAATAACTTCTATCGGTATTTACGTAAATAAAAAATGATTTCATAATACCAAAATGTATATTAATAAAAACAATATCCATTTAATTGTTTTCTTAAGTTACTATTTGTTTGCGCCCACAAATAATTCGTCGCCAAACAGCCAATCAAAACAAATCCTAAAAACCCGAGCTGTCAAATTTACCTAGGTAGGTAGGTAGGATGGTGCAAGAGAAGCTACCGCCGTAGGTAGTTTTACTAGGTAGGTATTTTGCCGATTCTACCTAGCTAGGTATTTTGGTGCAAGAGGCCTCTGCTCGGAATGGCGCCGGCCCGTCCGACCGAACATATTAATGTGGGATTTCAGGCGACTGTGATGGGATTATGCAAACTAATGACGTTTTACTGAGTTGGCCGACTGTTTTCGGTTTCCACTCAGCGTTATCGGCGGCCGCCGCCGCCCGTTCGCCGAATAGCCGTAAAGACCAGCGAGTCCCCAGCTACGCGGTGCGGCGTAGAGGTCTCCCTGGCCGGGTAGACTGTGCCGCAGTGCCGTTGTGTAATGCGGCACAGCATCAGCGGCTCTCGCCAGGCGGCGCCAGGCGCTAGTCGAGGGGCAGTGTCGGACCAAACTATTTTGATACCAGTAGTGCTGAGAAGATATCCTCTTTCTGGACAGGCTGATCAAGAGGATCATGCGTATATGGTGAGGTCAGGAAAAGCAATCCATAATGGGATCCATTAGTACGTAAATCGAAGGCAATCCCAATAACGTATCAAATAAATGAAACTTTCACCAGAGAACATCTCTTGGATTAGCTGCACGAGCCGATCAGAGTGGCACAAAAACAGATGGACGACAACATTGAGCCTAGAGATAAGTCCAAAATAACCAAATATACAAGGCAAATATATACATTTATTGATTAGCCCAATATATTCAGGTCCTCTCTTCGTCTCAAATGACGAGCATAAACTTCCAAACGAACGAGCATCGGTACTTTTAAAATCTTAGTTTTAGTTTATTTTTTTGTAATTTTATCTTAATACTTCCCTAAAAATCATTTACCTATTTTTCACGAGAAGTCTGTGGCACAAAGCATCGGCATGAACGACCAGAATCGCTCAACCATCGGAACAAAGGTAAGGGATCTATGCTTGTTGCAGTTGGACAGCGAAGCGCTATACCACACAAGCTTACGTAACAATATAGGGTCTCATCGATTTGCCTGACGACAAACCAGTCCACACTGTAAAGGCAGCTAAAGCTAGCAGCGTATTTATGGACATTTGATCGACAGATAACATATGCGGTAGCTTGCTTCTGAGCGTATGTGAGCATGAAGCCCAAAGTTTGGAGCGAGTGAGTTGGGAAGTTGGAAAGTGCTGCGTGCTTCTCCTTCATAACAAGATAATAGCATAATCATGCTATTTTCGTCACCTCTGAGATTAAACTCTTACTTTACCACTGGCTGCAGGCGGATGACCCCACCGCGGTGTAGGTTAGTGTGGTCAGTGACCATACGTGGAGGGTTGCGCCGAGCTAAGAGTGCCCGAGCTCTCCCAATTCCTCGCCGGCTTGACTTTAGAGCCGCGACAGACGGCGGAAGCCAAGGTCACCGCAAGGGTGGCGGCGGATTTGCTACGCCCGGGCACCCCCAGCTCGGCACAAAGTTCCACCTATGTCTTTGACTCTCCCCGGTGCATTATATGCTCTGTGACCCTCCTCGGTGTCTGCTCCCAGCTGCCGACGGCTGTGGAGGGACGACCCTCCGTGACCGCGGCCCGGCCGGCGGTCAGCGGCGCCGCCCTCCGTCAGCAGCTCCATGAGCGACTACAGACACCGTTCACCGTCACCGTGCTCCCGACCCGCACCCGGCGCCGGGGAGGGACCACCCCCTCCGTCAGCGTCCCACCGCCGTCCCACCGACCCGACCGGCTGGCCCAGCGACCCCCGGCCGGACTCAAACCGGGCAGACGACCGCGCACACGAGGCCGGTGTCGGAGACGGAGGGTAAACCAGACCAGCAGCAGGACTGGATCACCAGCCAGAGCGGCTGCAGGCACCAACCGCAGCAGAAAGGGATTTGATGGAGCCGATCGTCGGAAACCGCGATCGCTGATGTATTCCAGGCACATACAGGGCGTGAATACCCGAGCGAGAGCGACCGTCAGAAATGATGTGCGATTCATACGTGATCGGGTTATTTCCCCGAGCCGGGGTACTTCTGGCGGCGATATATCCGTGGAATCCAGCACCATCGATACGGCGGCTGCCGCCGCTCGTGATGTCGCCCATTCAGCCGACGGCACGGGCAGAGCCGCCGCCATTTCGGCCAACAATGGCCGTATCGGGACGCGGGCGGCGGCCAACAATGCGGGCGCCGACTCGCGTCGGCAGCCGTCGCTCGTCGCCGCCGTCGCAGCGCCCAGTTGCCAGCCGCCAGTCGACTCGGCGAAAGGTCAGGATGGCCAGTGGAGTAGGGCGCTGCCGGAGTCGGTGGCTGTCGGAGGTGTTCAGATGGTGTGTGTCGGAACTCAGACAGAGGTGGAGGATGCCTCCGGGAGGGACGGTCAGATGTGCGCCGTCTGTCGGCAGAACCAGGAGCGGGAGGCGGTCTAATGTCGTAGACGGGACGCGCTCCCTCCGGCGCCACCGCCGGGCTGACCCATGAGTCACCCACCGGCCAGGGACTGCAGCCCGATAACTGCGCCACTTTACGAGATAGACATGTGGACTCTAGAACCACATGCATCAGCACATCTGACATCCAGCCTTCGACTAAAGCATGATGACACACTGCGGTCAACGTTGGCCTATATTTCACGTGATCAGCGCAGTTTGGCAAATGATGTGATGGCTGGCGAATGATTTTGAAGGCCGCCACCGCATCGCTGCCATGAGTTGCAGTCTTCGTAGTCGACATCATCACCTCAGTTTGAATGGAGAGCAGCCTACTTCCTATGTGCAAATAGACGGCTAATGTTCAACAGAAAACCATCGTTACAGCACTGTTCAAATGTCAGACTGAATTCCAACCGTTTCAGTTGACTGAAAATTCCCCAGCACTCGGCCGTAATTACATTTCCCGCAGTTATGAAGCTCGTTAGGAAGACCGAGCATGCGCCGCTCGCATATTTCCTCCACTTGCCCGGTTCAATCAGCTGGCAATGATCAGGTCGCAACGAACCGGACGCGGCTGCCGTTGGGCGGAAATTGAGCAAATGTAGGTGAAGTGTGATCCATTCAGAGAGTAATGAATGCAGGTGTTAGCTCATGCCCGGTACGCTCCACTTCCTGGATAGGCTGCAGGGGTGTTGACGTCACGGCATGGTGCGAGTCGCGCATCCGGTTGTCAATAAATTGGAAACAGACGGCAGATACGACAGCGCATGGGCGTGGGACGAATGTGGGTTCGCTCAGCACAGCATGAAGGAAAGTGAAACAACGTTACGATCGTTACGATGCTTGCTCGTTTCGGCTTGTGTGGACATCGCTGAGAGTGGACATATTCTATTCAGGCGAATCAGTGAGATAACGACTTAGTTAAGAATTACCTAAATAGGTATTCCAGCTTGCTCCTAATCAAAACAAACTAGAAGACGTTCACCTAGCTCTGTAATAAGCTCGACTGACAAGCTCGACATGCTTATCTCCTTTATTTAGGCGTTGTGCGAACACTAAAACGAAATATGGGATCATAGATTTTCCTTAAATGCTAATTTCAGCTACCTCACGCCACTTGAAGCTCATATAGGGTTTCTCAAGCACGAGTCTTCGTCTCGCATCGCAATGACCAAAAACGGGTTTCATATTCATAGCGGCATCAACAAGGGACGCCGCAATGCAAACACCACTTTCCCGGGCTTGTTTGTCGACGCATTCTTTGATGTACGCCAGACTTAGCGCCATAATAGAGTTTTCTCAATTAGGCCCACCTGCAATATTTTTCGTCGAGTCAGCCGGCCGTCTTTCGCGGCGCCGCCGCACACGGCAGATCTGATGGAGCTGTTTACCGCACGTCAAAATGAAACACAGCCGGCTGCTTTTATCCATCTCGGTGCTGCGGAGGATGTCATTAAAGGGACCCTCCCACCTTAACATTAGTTTTGAGTTGAGATAGCCAAGTTTGCGGCCAGGCTCAGAAACCACCATTTATCCTGGTCGCAACCCCCGCAGCTTTATGGTGTTCAAGAAATTTCTTCCCTTTACTTGCAGGGTGGGACCAGCGTGGTCCCTATCTCTTAACCATTACGGGAATCTGATGACGTCATCAGGCTTTCGAACGTCCGTTAAATGTTTGACTAAAACGTTTTGTAGCACGCGGTGGTATATGCTGCTTTGCGCGCAACAAATGCCGCACTTTCAAATAAAGTCGCTAGGAACAGCGGAAATCCCAAAAAGTAAACAAAAGTAAAAGGCTAATATCTTGAAAACCGGTGAATATTTTTCGATGAAATTTGGTAGATATTCGTTTTTGCTCTTTCTGAACCGAGCGACATCACTTTCATGCCAATTCATTAACTTTTTTGAAGGTGGGAGGGTCCCTTTAAGCCGCCCGCGGGCCACGGGGCGAGGCAGGAGCTCGCACGCACCACCACTACCAGCGGAGTAGCGGCCGTATGTCGCTGCCGGCGCCAGACCCAGCCACTACCTAACCCTGTTATTGACGCTGGCTGCAGCCGGCTGAGCACTGCCATTCGCCGTATCTTGTGACGACTAACCCGTTTGTTTACCTATTTCACAAATAGCATTTGCAGAGCAGGTAGGTATAGGTATGGTATGCCGTATGGTTTCGTCCAGCCTGCAACAGCGGCTCTTGCCGTACATAAGATCCATACCAACTTTAGGCAGGCCTATTGTAAGCCGATTCGGTAACGCAGCCCGGTCATGTCACCCCCCCCCCCCCTATTTCAGACTCGCTGAATAGAATAGTAACGTCACAGTAACGTGACCGGTGGCATGGATAGTTAGAGGCAAGGCAGTATACCGTTAGAGGACCATGTGACATCGGCTATTACATGGATGAATTATCCTAAGTAGAAAATTGTACTTCATTCATGTTCTGCTAAGCGATAGCTGTCCCTTTCCTGTCCACGCCCTTCCTTACCGTCTTTGTCCGATACGGTCGTGAGCACAGTGGTGAGGAAGCAGTAAATTATTGAGGTCCCTGGTCCACAAAATACAAATTATTGATAATTTTAGCTTGGGACTTGGAAGACTTGCATGCATAGGGAAAACCAATGGTGAAATGCATGGATTTCTGCATATCTAATGAAATTCTTTCTAAACAATACAAATTATCGCAAAACATCGGGTAATTACGGAGCATGACCCAAAAAACGATTTGGTCTGCTTTTTAACCCTCGCCGGCACAGGCCATTTTGAGTCCTTCGACGGCACAAGGGGGGGGGGGGGTTGGTACGACCCCCCCTCGCGTTTGGCCCCTGACCGAGCTAGAGCTTCGCGGAAAAAAAGAGCATGTTGCCCGTCACGAGAGGAAGCCAATGATACCCAATTTTAAGGTCCTAGGTCATCGGGTGACCTTCCAGGTCAGGTCAATGACCCAAAAACCGGGAAAATCGGGACCTGTTAGAAAGTCGTAAAGTGTGGCTGCTATGTGGTTTTCCGGGGTGCTGATCACGAATATCGTGTTAGTTTTGATCAGAGATGATGTCTTTAAGCATTTAGACCAGGTCGGGTCAGGTCAGGTCAGGTCAACTGGTAGGGGTTGTGACGGGTATTCGTAATACGTGTCAACCGCCTCGGACAGCTTCGTAACATGTTACGAAGGCACCAAAACTACTTCGTAAATGTTCAAATGGTTGCTAAATTCGAATTCAGCTCCAAAAACTAGCCTAGAAACATGTAAAACTCGAAAAAGTGAACCGAGGTCACCCGAGGTCACCAAAGGTCAATGACCTGACCTGACCTTCAGGTGACCTTGACACCCACCCTAATGCATGGGAGCAACATCAAATCACATGTTTGAACGTTTGAAACCACGAAAAGCTTGCAAACGCGCGGCTAATGCGAGCCGACATGCGCCGAACCGCGATTTCGGCCAAACATGGTCACAGAAAAGAGGTCACAGGTCAAAGGTCATTTGGGTCAGGGTCACGAAATTTTCAGGGTAGGTGTAAAATTGATCAATGCGAGGGTACTGAAAGTTTCGTCGCGATCGGCCGCTTTTTACGCGAGTTATTCGTGAAAAACCTTAGGGGGGGTTGCATCAACCCCCCCCCCCCCCCTATGCCGGCGAGGGTTAAGGTATTTATAGTCACCGTGGGTTAAGGCACCCTTCTTGAGTTCGTGACATTTTAGGGGTACACCGGGGCCCTGTTTCACCGGTGATAGCAGCACGCTGCTTTTACACGTGTCAAATTGGGTTTCCATGGAAACATCAACAGGCCCATTGCTCCAACACTACCACAAGTGTGACGTCAGCTCGCGCACAGGGTGGTAGCAGCGTCCCGTGAAACACCGCCCTACGAAACCTAAATATCACGTGATATTTGTAACTTTGATTAGCAAATTTTACGACACTTTCCTTTTGTTAAATATTTTTGAATGCCTAAAACTCTAAAAAAGTTGTTTTTATGAACTACAAAAGCATATACTTTTCAAAATAGAAACTTTTTAAATTCAAAAGAAAAATGTCATGTGAAAACCTGAAAACTCTAGCCATCCTAATATATATCGTCTTGGCCATGGCCAAGAGAAGCAATTCAAATTGTTTTGCTTGGAAATCAATCCAAAACTAAAATAAGAAAAGTAGCTCCAATAGACGGCGCAAATAGCTCAACAAATCACAAAAAATAGCAAATAATAGAAGCCAATTTAAGGTGAAGGTTGAGGCATAATTGAGCTGTTTTTTTATCATACCATACTGATACCTTATCAATTTAATTTATCATGCCTATACCTTTTGTCTCAAATTGTACTTCACTAGGTAGTACTTTCAGGTTTCAGTATTGATATTTTCAGCGTATATTTAGTGAACTTTTTTGTATATACTTTATTGTTTTCCTCAATACTTAAGCTTTGTTTTAGATATTACAGTGACAAGTTCTTTTAAATATGCTTTCGCCCCAAAAATTATAACCGTGCCTTATAGATTGGTCTGTCTGACTCCCCACCCCTCATTTATCTGTCTGGTCTTATGAAGCTCTGTGGAGATACCTATTTCTATCTCAATTACCGGTGGGCAAAGAACGTGCTGCTGGCTTGAGACATCAACATAGGTATTCCGTATTACAAAAGTTTATGTTTGCATTCCTAAGTAGGCAATAGGTATACCACCTACCTACTTTGACTTTGACTTGCTTTATTGGTCTGTAACAGTAAATGTATTTTTATCTTTAATAACATATTGCTATTGCTTATTGGTAAGATAACTTGCAAAATAGTGTCACCCTGTTGGTTGGCTGCCTTCTTACTCGTAATTGTCATTTCTTTAATTACAGCTATGATTTCTGTGAGGCACAGGGCTAGTCAACTTCTAAGAACATCACTGCTGGGTAGCTCACAGAAAATGGTGAGTGAGCTTCATTAAGCTGAATATATGACATTTCAACCACACTAACACCTATATTTTCCTTGGCAAATCAGTTTTAGTTTCTTAGTTAGTTTTACTTAATCAATGTCAAGCTTTTTAGGCACTTGTAGTTGCTGCCTTTGATAAAAAGGCATCAATTGCTAGTGCCTAGAAAAGGGTTTTGGTGCTAGGTGAGTGCTGAATAATGCTTAATGAGGTAATGCTTTAATAACTGCACAATTACATGTTTATTTGGCATTGAACATCAGAAGTCAGTGCATAATCAGGTCTGCTTCAGATGCATTTCCATTTCTAAATAGATTGGACTTAATGGGTACTAGTGCTGGAAATAGGCACAGACTGACCAAACTGGTAAGCTGCCTGCTTAGATGCACTTCTGTTGTGTCTGTCTGTGCTGTCCTTTGTAGATTTAATTTTGTGTGTCTCCCCTCCAGGCCCTGTCAAGCTCTGCCCAACTGAGCTCAGACCAGGATGGGTCTGCCATGCCCCAGGCCCGGCACTTCCCAGCGCTGAAGACTCCCATGCTGCCACCAGACACCTTCAAGGGCAAGGTTAGTGATTCTCACATGGGAAGGTGGCTGAGGAATGCATCACAAATGACACTGACACAGGCAATACAATACAAGCTTACAGTATGGTCTGTGGTGAAAACTGCACTGAAGGTATAGAAGCCTGGCTGCTGTACGGTGGCTGGCTGGCTGCTGTAGGGTGGCTGGCTGGCTGCTGCAGGGTGGCTGGCTGGCTGCTGTAGGGTGCAGCCAGAGCTAGGAGTGCACAATGACAACCCAGCCAGCACAAGCCTGGCTGCTACTTGTCTCCTTGT